CAGGAATGAATAAAAACACAATTTCTATAGCTCTTATCGGCACAACACCAAAGCTGAGACACCTCTAAGTGCTCCTGGATCAGTACCAATTAAAAACTTCTACAGCAAACATCTGACCTAACTTATTTGGTTTGCATAATTTACACAGTGTAAATAAACAGGCACATTATAGTATGCTGTTGATGAAAACTGGGCAAAATAGTATTCTGATCCTTCCCTTGGCATTCTGTAGAAAATTCATGGATAGCTTTCTTTCAAATGCCCCATCAGGATTACCTAGTCTTGTTTAAAGGTAATGTTTGAGGGGTCATCTTATTTTTCTTGAGTATTTCATGGAATTGTGCAAATAAATTCACATGGATAGGCAGTATGATGAGAACTAAAACAAAATCTCCCTTTGCCCCAGGATTCTGGAAAGAAATGCATTCACAGCAATATAACAATCACTGTGGGACTGATTTCCCCAGACCCGCTCACTGTGGCCTCTACCCTTCACAGCAGTATAACAATCACTGTCGGACTGATTTTCCCAGACCCGCTCACTGTGGCCTCTACCCCAGAGTCTTTTTACAAGCAGAGCCTGTGCCTGTGATCTCCCTCTACCTCCTGCTGGATTTAAAGGGCCGTCCAGATGGCTGGCGGGCCACGTGGTCCCCACTGACCAGTTGAAGCCCTTTAAATTGGGCAAGAGGAGAGGAAGAGGGGTGGCTGGGCAGTTGGTTGCTCTTGGGGGTGGGACTTGGGTTGGGGCTTGGGGGCATCCCTGCCCACACCCAGAATGCCCCTCAAATTCTCCCACCGGAGAATGAAGGGAACCTGGCAACCCTATGACCTAGCCACTTTGGCGGTTCAAATGAGACATTGGACAGGATTGGCTAGGCTGATGCCTTCTGCCAATGGGAAATGAGGTTGGAGGTCATTAAAAGTAAGAACATAAGAACATAAGAGATGCCAATGTTGGATCAGGCCAAAGGCCCATCCAGTCCAACACTCTGTATCACACAGTGGCCAGAAATACCAGTGCCATCAGGAGGTCCACCAGTGGGGCCAGGACATTAGAAGCCCTCCCACTGTTGACCCCCCCCAAGCACCAAGAAGACAGAGCATCACTTGCCCCAGAGCCCCTCTGCTCCATATAGATAAGCATATGGACCTCTGCATTGAGGGATAAAATGATAAAATGGGAAACTTAGAAACTACAAGAAGAGCAAGCCAATCCCATTGAAGGAAAACAATTACATAATCCCAGGGCATCCTTTTTTGTCTTGGTCACTTTTTATCCTGCTACATATTCCTCAGGGCAACTCAGGATGAATCATGAGTTGTGCCCTGGATCAAAGTAAAGAGGACCCCAGGGTGGAGCACATTCAAACTAGTTTGGAAAAACTGAGAAAACCTAAGGTTGGCTTGTCAAGTCACCCCCCAGTCGTCGTTTCTCCAAGCTAAAGAGCCCTAAGCGCTTTAACCTTTCCTCATAGGGAAAGTGTTCCAACCCTTTTATCATTCGAGTTGCCCTTTTCTGCACCTTTTCCAAAGCTATAATATCCTTTTTAAGGTGTGGTCTCTGCTCTTCCCACAAAGGCATTTGCTATGCATGTACACCAAACTGGTATGGCAAGATGGCCTGGGAAAACAGCAGAGTGCCAGAAATGAGAACTACTGAAATGAGAATAATTGATCCATGTCGATGGATATGTTATAGCACCCCTTTGCATTGAGGGATAAAATGATAAAATGGGATACTTAGAAACTACAAGAAGAGCAAGCCAATCACATTGAGGGAAAACAATTACATAATCCCAGGGCATCCTTTTTTGTCTTGGTCACTTTTTATCCTGCTACATATTCCTCAGGGCAATTCAGGATGAATCATGAGTTGTGCCCTGGATCAAAGTAAAGAGGACCCCAGGGTGGAGCACATTCAAACTAGTTTGGAAAAACTGAGAAAACCTAAGGTTGGCTTGCATAGCTATGATTCAGAGACATTCCTTTGTTGCAGAGCATATTCCTTTGGTGCTAGGTGCTTTCTCCTTATTGAAAGAAGGTGGTCTTGACTTAATGTAAAATGTCTAGTGGCAGAAGAATGTGATACATAACGGAGGGCAACACTGAATAAGTGGAAGTAAGATAGAGGTTCCAAACCCTAATCACTGAAACAAGGAGATGTCTAGCTTGGTCTAAAAATGGATCAATGAAACTCAATTTCTGGACAATGCTCTTAAGGCAAATTGCCATACAAATGTAGTGACACTAATTCCTGAGGGTAGCCATTAGTAAAAACAAATGGCCCCCTTGTGGCACTTTAAATACTAACAGATTTAGGAACTAGGCTTCACTTAATCAGATGCATAAAATGTATCATTAATTAGTATAGATACAAGATTATAGAGAAAACCATTGTAGATGGGGACTCAAAAGGCTACTAAATGCTATTCAATTCCAGACAGTTGAATCCAATGTCATTTTCTATACATACATGGATCTGTGTCTGGGGAACATGACATTTGCAGCTCCCCTCTCCTGTGGCAGCCTGAAATGAAATGTATCATTAATTAGTATAGATACAAGATTATAGAGAAAACCATTGTAGATGGGGACTCAAAAGGCTACTAAATGCTATTCAATTCCAGACAGTTGAATCCAATGTCATTTTCTATACATACATGGATCTGTGTCTGGGGAACATGACATTTGCAGCTCCCCTCCCCTGGGGCAGCCTGAAATGCCCCCCCCCCCCATCCTGCTCTTTCGAGGAACAGGATTTGGCGAAGTATTTCAAGCTGCCACAGGAGACGTAAAAGTTGTATTCCACGGGAGGAGGTCCTTATGTCTGTGGAAACACTGTGCTGTATCTAACCAAATGTCTGTGACATTTCTATGCAGATCTCAAACGTATACAAGCTAAGAACCTATGTAGATAGCAGAATGGAGTTGCTGGCATCTGATGGCATGTATTATGTTGTAGGTTGAGAAGGTGAATGAGTCCCTAGGTATGAATATGCCTAGGTATAGTCCCTAGGTATGAATATGCATGGGCACAAACTGGCTCACAAACTAAAATTCTTCATGAATTTTGGCTGGTTTGTGGTCTGTAAAATGATGTCCATGGAGGCTCTACCATCACAAATTTCCACATACTTTTAGTGTGGTTCATAGCAGTTAATGGGTGGAGACAGACCGGTGCCGATCGATTAAACTGTTTACAAAACTCCAAGGCAACAATGGGAATGGAATTCTTCATCCTTGGAAACACCAATAGGAGCCTTCTGAAGCTTAACAGGCACTGCTCGCTGCCAATAACAGAGTTCCCATTGTGATCTATGGGCTCAGAAGTCTATATATTGAGTGAACTCTTCTCTCTACCCTTCCTTTGTTGTCTGGTGAAGCGAAAGAGAGGCACAGAGCTAGCAGAGCTGATTCATTGTTTGCTTTCTATTTTATTGGTCTCCTGTTTGTTTTTTGGGGTTTGGGATTAGGGTGCAGTGGACTCTGGGCTCTGAATTGCAGCACAGGGGCTTATCTACTGTGCCTTCTCCCCCCCACTAGTGATTGGCTCTGCTCTCTGCTGTGGGGGGTTGAGAATCTTCTGGATCCAGATATCTGGTTCTGCTCTTCCTGCACTCATGCTGAGCACAGGGACTTAGTTATTGGGTGCCTCTCTACCCCCCCCCCCGCCACCTCTCCTGCTAATGATCTGGTCTACTTTCTGTTGTGTGGTTTTGGGAGTGTTCTGGAACCAGGGATCTTGGTTTGTTCTTCCTGTGCTCACTTAGCTATTGGGTGCCTTTCTATAACTTACCCACCCTCCTTCTGCTAGTGATCTCATCTGCTATCTGCTGTTGGGGTTTGGGAGGTTTCTTGATTCAGGCATTGGATTGGCATCTTATTCCTGCACTTATGCTGAGTATAGGGGCTTAGCTATTGAGTGGCTTTATTCCCCCCTCCACTAGTGATCATGTCTGCTATCTCCCATTGGGGGTTGGGAGGTTTCTTGAATCAGGCATCGGATTGGCATCTTGTTCCTACACTCAGGCCGAGCACAGGGGCTTATTAGGTGCCTTATTAGGTGCCCCCCGGCTAGTGATCTCCTCTGATGCCTGCCATCAGAGTTTGGGAGGTTTCTGGAATCAGTGATCAGACTGGCATCTTGGTCCTGCACTCAGGCCGAGCACAAGAGCTTTGCTATTGGGTGCTGGTAGTGATCTGCTGTGCTGTCTGCCATCGGGGTTTGGGAGGTGTCTGGAAGCAGGGATCAGACTGGCATCCTGTTCCCACTCTAATATCAAGCACAGGGGCTTAGTGAACACCATGAGGGCGAAAGAGAGCCAGAGGCCCCTGTCCTCAGGCATAAAACCCACCCACTGCAGTTCTGCCCCAGCTGTCCTTGAGGCTTTTCCAAAATAAAACAGAGGTGTTAGCAACATCCAGGCACCAGCAGTTGTTGATCTCTTTGGAGAGGAATCCTCTGACAACAGTGGTTCAGAGATTGGGGGGGGAGGAAGCATCTTCTCCTCCCAAGTCCCAAGTACACCCCCCTCTTTCACCTCCCAGCTTGGTGCCAGAAACCAGCTGTGCCTAGTCCCACCTG